TCACTCACGATAGTTGTTATAAAGTGGATGAAAGTGAGAAAAGTTACTCCAATGAAGGTTCTAATTTTGTCAATAATTGCAAAGGGAAGATAAGTCACACATTTAAAGATAAAAGAGTCAAAAGAAAGGAAAACAACATGGGAGAGGAGAGAAAATTTGCACTAACAGCCCTCGTTGGGTTGGCAATGTACGATAAAATTTTGACTCATACTAAGATTCAAGTTTTTATAGAAACAGTTACAATATTTTCTCTTTCTTTCAAAATTTTTCTTAAAAAAGAGAAAAAGAAAGAAGAAAAAAAGACAATGGATGGGCCAACCATCACACAACTAAGGAAATATTCCATTCATGTGATACGGTGGAAATGATATCGATTTTGCATCACCCAACTAACTAGTCTGTACGAGAAAATATATAAAACCATATCTAAGGGATCCAACCGTATATTTTATACTTACTACTACATTAAAATATCCAATGGATCTGAAATATAATAACTTTTGAAAATTTTTATTCATAAAGATATACACTCCCTAGTATGAACTTGAAAAGGTTAATACCAACAAGAATAAATTTATTTCGACTAGGTGCGTACCTCAAGACAAAGAGGTTTTGGTGGTGGTAATAATGGTTTGGAGTTTGGAGCCCACCACTGATTGATATACATATATATATATATATATATGTATATTATATCATCTGGACCCATGATTTAAAACAGTAAAACTATAACATGGAGCTTTCAATATATATATTAATTAGATAATAAGAGATAATTATTTCTTATTTTTTATATTACTTCATTTGTATATTATGTAATTCAAATTTAAAATTTTTTATTTTTTAAAAAAATAAATATTAAATTATTTAGATTGTTGATAAAAATATTCATATTATTATTATTGTTAGGAAAAATTGATTCACACGACAATTTCACTTCACAATAAAATGAGGAGAAGACTAATAGACTTTGGAATGATGAACTAATCATGTGAAAAAACATGAGGGATCTTTTAAAGTATAAAAAGTTATTACTACACAGCTGGTTTTGTACCGCATTAAACTTTCTATGAAAAAATACATTCACATGCAATCATTGACCATTTTTTCAATTAATTAATCTACTGTTAAGGAAACAAACAATGTGATATTGTCAATACACAAACCTGATGTGTAACCAATATTAAATTTATTTTTTTTATTAATAACTATGAATTATGTAATTCACACAAAACAAATTTTTAAACAATAATTTCTTATTAATATCTTAGTATTATTATGATATTGGTATTTAGATATCTCGGATCTGGTTGTTCTTCTAGTATCCCTTTTAATGATCTCTCTCAATCTATCATAAGATTATAGGTTAGTAGGATACATGTAGTACTAAACTTTTTTAATTAGTATTAATTAGTGGGAATTTTTTTTTGAACAGTAAGGAATTCTTTTTTTGGGAAAGGGGGAAGGGGGCTTGGAATTTGATCCCAAGCTCTTGTAGTCCTAAGCACGTCCTTGCAGGGGTGGTCATTGGGGCGACCAAGTACTGAACATTAATTAGTGGGAATTGACTTTGCAGCTTCATTAAATAGTAATAATTTAGAATCTGTACCCCCTTTGAGAAAGAAATGATTTTGGACGAAAAGCATACAAGAGGCACCTTAATGATTTGGGAATGGCCAGCATTTTCCACCTCAAAAAGAAAGATATGTAACAGCAGGGATTTCAATTCCCATTTCACTTTCAATTCTACTTGGTCCCTTTTTTACCATCTTTTAGTCGAAATCCAACCAATTAACTCTTCAATATGTATCACTGAATGTAAACCAAAAAAGAAATGTCAAGTCGAAATTCAAAAATATGTTCACTAAGTTTTGTAGAATATTAATTGTGGTGTTGGGTGATGCATAGAAAATGATTATTACAGTAGTTTCTTGGCTTTACCTCTTTGGACAGGCGCAGTTTTTGGACAATTTGGCTTACAAATTATGATAGGGATATGGTAAGGGTCTAAGGGATGGGGCCTTAGAGGTTTAAGTGTCACATGTCTACCAATTAGAAAAGGAACAGGAAA